AGGGAAAGGCCACTCAGTGCCAATACATAGCCTCCTCTTAAACTTAAGAGTGAGAGGATGTCCCCTGTGGCACATGCAGCACCAAGTCCAAGAAAGAGTTCTGCATTCCTCTTCTAGAAACACACGCTAGGACAGCATAAACTATATAGGAGCAGTGATGTAAGATTCTTTACTTCTTTTAAAATGGTGAATTCTGCTGGAAACATTAATATTTCTAACAATGGAATAAACCAGAAGTGTGACCCAAGTGTCACACAACCTATCTATAATCTCCAGTTTATGCAAATGTCACTGTATTCACAGAAACTTTGCTGATGCTTCCAAACAAGAGATTGCATTATCCGACTCACTGAATATAAAACTGAAGGTATTGAATGATGATATATACCTTAGTCTTCTAAAAGCCACAGTAAATGATTGTTATAGTTCTATTTTTCTCTTCCACGTAGCACACTTTTTCCCTTTCAGTTCTTAAGGCTTCTTTTTGTCTTTAAGTCTTATGGGATTGGGTAAGATTTTTTTCTGATGGTACCCCAGTTCTTTTTCCTGCCATGGCAGGGGGTCGGACTTGATGATCTGCTCAGGTCCATTCCGACCCTACCAACTATGAAACTATAAGTATCTAAAGGTACAAAAAGATTCTCAGGAGCATATAGGCATGTAAGTATGTTTGAACCCTCTCCCACCTCCCCCCAAGATACTTACATGTCTTTAAAAATCTGGTCCTTTGTGTCCTAGAAAAATTGTTTTGCAGCAACAGGGTTTGATCAAATCAAGTTTGTTATTCAGGAAGCTCTCCTGCACCTTCTTCAAATGCATGCAGGGAAAATGGTACCAACTGGGACCTCCATTCTTCTGACTGGATCATCTGGATCATGCTGCTGCTTCACATTAAACACATCAGTTGATTTTTTTTTCAGTAGGGTTACGAAGGCAAGTTGGGCCATTAAGCAGACTCTCACATTTTGCTAGGGAGTGTCCATAAATCAAGATTTGATTTGATTTATGTTTCAGTAAACAGACTTTAAATTTATAATCCTTTTTCAGGGAATGTGTTTACTAAGGAATTTCTTCTTTAATGCAGCTCTCAGTTTACTATAACTTGAAAAAAGTGTGCATTCTTAAAAGTATCCAGTGAATACTTGTTTGATTTAGGGCCTAAGCTTGACTTCAAGTCAGCAAAACCATATTAATTTTCTCTTTCCAAAAAAAACCCACCCCAAAAACTTAAAATAGTATGTTGACAAAAGTGGGTTTTTATTCAATCTAGGTAAATCATCTTATTTAATTCTTATTACAATCTCTGTAAATGAAGAAAGATGTCATCTATTTAAAAATAATGTTTGGTGGACATGAACTTTTTAATGGAGGGGCAGAAGAACTTGAACCTTCCAGTGAAGAATTTGCCAATTTATCACTTTTTCTGGTTTACCTGTTGGTATTTATAAGAAATTAAATATAATCTTTACTGAAGAATGAAACCAGCTTCTTAAACTTTAGCATGGAGAGACTTTGCCTTCTGGAATGGAAAGAAAGCGTGGACTTAGTTTTCCTAAATAGTTGGCATCGATCATATTTATAATGTGTGTTGGGTTAGTGTTGTTTATAGGAAATGAGGAAGATTTAACAATCCATTGAAATGTTATTCCAGTTAAAGTTACTTTCATAAATTCTTTTCCCTATTGTCTCTTATGGGACATTTGTGGGTGCTGTTGTTAATTTGTTCTTACCTTGTAAGACTAGCACTGGCATCCATTAGAATGAACTAAGGGGAATGTTTTCAGTAGTAAGAAGGCTCCTGAGACCAACCTCAGCTGAATTCTATTCCAGGATCTGCATTTGGTTTATTGACATCCTTGCTTGCATTGCTATGTCCTAATACCCATGCTATTAGTTATTTTTAAAATATTTGAGCACTGTTTATGAAGGTTCTCCTCATGATATCCTTTTTGTGATGCTAAAATAACTTTTTAAGAAGATTTAACAATTTATTTTGAAAGCTGTTTGAAAAGTTTGCTAGAGTGTAAATGGGAAATTATATAAATTTGTCAGCCACTGTGTTGTATCAAAATGACTAGTAAATAATGAAGACTGTATGAATGTTAATAGCCCATCATGGGGGTTTACTAGAAAAACATAATTATTTTCTCCTTGTACTCCATCCCAGCAGTTAGGCTGGTTTAACTGACTTTTATCCTTTCTGTTTCTAACATTACAAGCTTCCTTTCCCATCTGCCCCTTGACAGAAGGACACCTCTCTCTTTACTAACAGTCTGGTGACATTTCTCTGTTGTGGAAATATCACTTATGTCACATCAGAGGAAGTATACAAGTTGAATTAAACAGGTCTTGTTTTGTTTTTTTAATTTGCCTAGATTATTTCCTCTGTAGGAGATTATTATGAGGTTTTCTGGAAAAGATAGGAGGTCTTCAATTCCAGCTATTTACAATTAGCTGTTACCTTTTTTTTTGCTCCCTTACTCTGCAAATCACATGAGAATCATACAAAACTAAACTTGAGTTGCGTGAATTTTTAGATGTTCCCATTCAAACATGTTCTACAAGCCTTTGCAGGGTATCTTCCATGACAGAAATAAAAAATGAGGATAGACCACAGGGAGCTACATAATATATTTAAAGGCATGTATGTGGCCATCTACTGATGGTTGTACTATGAAATCCTATACTGTAATTTGGGTACATTAAGACAGGACTTTCCATGTCAAATATCTAAACTGTGTTCTTGAAATTTAGTGTTCTTCAGTTTGTCATTCTAAATCTTGATGAAAATATCAATATATATCATATCACAACTTTACTATTATGTACCCACTTTAAAGCTCTGAAAATATAAAGTTCTAACCAAATTATTAAATCAGCCAAAAAGAAATGAAGTATTCTTATTAGTTTTCAAAGGTGCTCAGGTATTAATTTTCAAACTTTTATAATGCATTAAGAGACTGAAACTATTAAGACCATTTTTTCAGTGTGACGACTACATATTTATGCATTGACTATATCAGTATTTCTCATCCTGCACTTCTGCCATTCATCAGAAATCCAAACCAGTATCTTACTTAGCTAAAACATTATGCAGACAATCAAAACACATCTTGAAATGGAACATTGGCTGCCATCAGTATCCCCTAGTTAGGGTAGCAGATGTCTGTATCGATTTGGTCTAGATAATTTATTGTTTTATATTGATTTTACTAATTTATCTGTTTCCTGTCTAAGAAGATACTGGTTGAAATAACTCACCGGGATATAGCTCTGCTTTTCACACAATCTCAGTGAGTGATGGGATTATAATGAGGTTTTTCTATATAGTGGGGATTTTTTTAGTCCCTCTCACTGTGAGTTTAATGGGCACATTCAGACTCATTATGAAAAACAGTCTACCAGCTGAATGTCAGTAAACTCATGAGCATTTTTGCCAGACTTCTGTGAATGTATAAACCAGTTGCTACAGCTCTAAAAATGTCATGGCTACTACAGTGGTGATTTTCTGCGGTGAAGGAGTGAGCTAGCAGAAATTATGTGCTGCAGGTATTTTAGTGACCTCTGAAAAGACTACAGCGGCACAGAAAACACCCATTCATTTCAACTAGCTAATGACTTCCTTTCCATCATTATTTTCTGTAGAATTATATCTGTGGGTGGTCAGTATATATGACTGTGCTTTGCTGTCCATCAGGCAACTGCCTGTTCTTATAGTATTTAGTGTGTTTTAGCTGTAACAAACACATCTATGTCCATAGCATTTATTTGGTATAGCTAAGGGAGGAAGAACACAAGGCAGAGAGAACACACATGTCTGTTATGGCTAAGGCTGAATTGAAAATTCAGTTCCAATTAGTGCTTACCCCGAAACTTGCCTAGCTAGGTCTGTTCCTTGACTCTGTGTGCTTCCTTTCATTTATAGCACTGTCAGGGGGCACGCATGGTTTTTGCTTATTGGCAACTGACTGTTACATGATGGGAAATCCCACATGGCTCTTCCTTCCAAAATAATACATGGCAATCTTAAAAGTAGGATTTTTAAATATGAAAATTTTGCTAAAGTTTCACAATCCCGCTCTGTCTGTAGAGCAGGGATCAGAAAGCCTTTTCTCGTGCCATTTTAAAAGATTTCTTGAAAAATGCTCACTTTTAAAAAAAGGTTTTGTTTTTGGTCAGTGTTTGTCAGGTTCAACTCCAGCCATGGTTTCCCAGTGGAGGTTGATGCGGATACCAGCATCTTCCAGCTCAAGGAGGTGGTTGCTAAGCAACAGGGAGTTCCAGCTGACCAGCTGCGTGTGATTTTTGCAGGGAAGGAGCTTAGGAATGACTTGACACTGCAGGTAAGTCTCCCTTGGTAGTTTCATTTCTGGGATCCTGCCAGCTCAATTGCTTCTGCCTCTAATGCTGCCAATCTGACATTCATGCCTGAGATCTAATAGAATAAATAGTGCCTGGGGATTCCTTGAACTTTACTCCACACTGCTTCATTAATTCTGACCTTCTTAATTATGCATTAAAACAGCAAGCAGGAAGGAGAGGGAGGGAAAAAAGACTGTGTGTCAGAGAGAGAACATAAGAGAGAATTGTGCTTAGTGAATAAATGTTTACTGACTACAGGAGCAAGCTATGCCCAATTTCTGTATCTGTTCAATTTCTGTCTTACTTATTCCATTTGAATCTTAATGAGGAAGGATGTGAATAAATTGTTCTAAATCAGGCTGCACAGTCATCATATTGTATAGAATTTGTAACCCAATTGTGACCCCTGGAGGATAGTTGTAAGGCTGCTGCTGCTGGTGTGTGCATGTGTGTGTGTGTACATGTACACGTATGCTAATGGAGTTGTATTTGAAGGCTTGTCCTGCATCCCCTGGAGGATAGTTGAAAGGCTGCAGCTGTGTGTGTGCATATGTGTACATGTGCATGCATGTGCACGTACTCATGTGCTAATAGAGTTGTGCTTGAAGACCTGTTCCTAGTCTCCAGTGTTGTTTTCTCAAAAGCACTGAACCCATAAGCCTATAGTTAAAAAAACTGGTGGGGGCAAAGAGAAACTGGTAAGTGAGGGAGTCCATATTTGAATTTCCTTTCCTTTAAGATTAATGAATTGGGCTAAAATAAAATACAAAATAACTGTGGAGGAGCAAAAGGAGCTTGACCGCTACTATCAGTAGTGCTATCATGATTTTATCTGCATTCATTCCTCTTGTGAGTGATATATGTGGAGTTAGCAAAATACGTAGGCCTAAGCATAAGATCACAGGTTCAAGTCATTCAAGGAACCTAATAAAATATATCTACCTGCCTTCCATTAAAGCTTGGGACTGCTGAGTTGCTAGAAAAGCTATCTTTTTGCCATGACATCCAAGAAGTTGTAGTACAGCGTGCAGCGGCTCAGGTGACTATATAAAAGGTCCTCCACAGGCACAACTCCTTTCTGTTTTAACCAACATAGATTAATTGGCACTCATGTTTACAGCTGTGTGAGAGGTATTGAGTGGGCACAGAATGGCTGCTATGTCTGGTTGCAGAGAGTCACTATTGTATTGACATCCTATCACTATTTCTTCGCTGGTATGATATTTATTGCTTTGTAAAATGCTTTAGGGAGTTCGGCCACACAAAAGAAACTAAAGAAATGCAAATTGCTGTTGTCATTCTCCAGTGCATCTCCTGCTGATAGTGTTGATGTACATATTTATGATGCATAAATGGCTGTGCTTTGCTTTTAGGTGACTTATTTTTTACTAAAAAAAATATAAGTGCAAAAAAAAAGAGAAAAAGGTATACCAACAAGCTCTTAGATGTTAGTTTTTAGATTTGGGGTTCTATGTTACCCTTTCTAAGGCTTTTAAACTTTTTGTGTTCCCGGAAGGGCTCCATATGTTTTTCTGATTTTTTTCAGGATGAAACACAGAATCTGCTGTATAGGTCTAACTAGACAGATAATCTGTAGCCCAGCTCATTACAGAGTAACACACAACCTGTAACTTAGGTATGTAAATAAAGGATGAATTGCTTCTCACATTTCAGATCTGTCTGGTTCATTTAGGCGGAGTTTCCTTTGCGTGTGTAAGGCGAAATTATGTGCTAGGCCTTTTAAAGTCTTTTAGATAAATATCCATATTAAGAGATTGTACAGAATCACATGGCTCCAAGAGGAAGTAGTGGGAGTGCCTTGGAAAGGGGTAAGATGCACAATACACAGGCTACAGATTCACTACCACACCCCAGCAGTTTGCTTTCAGGTGGCCAGTGCATAGGTTGTGGGAGAGTCGTGGCCTTGTTTGTCTTGACCCTGCCGCACTGCATTATGGGTGATCCCTGGAGACTGAGAAGTCACCTTTTGCACTTCCATGGGGACAAGTACTGGCTGGCATTTTGGCTGACCCTTACATAGGACAGGCAAGAGCAAGACCAGGAGCATTGTGACCTATTGTTTTTCCCCGTAATGAGTGGTTTAGGAATGTTGGTGTCATTGTCAAAAGCTGGTGTGTTCTTTGAACTGGATCAGGACCCTCTGTTTTTTCTCATTGGACAGGAAGTTCAGCAACTGTTTTAGGTACATACCAAACCTTTGCTTTTTAGTGCATACAATAATACAGTCACTGCAGTATCACCTGGATTTTTAATTTAATTAAATTTAATTGATTTTAGCATGCCCCAACACTATCAATTTATTTTGCATCATTGATTAATAGATGTCGACACTGTCAGGCAGAGGCTGGTACTTTGGCTGGTGGGTAAGGAAGAATTAAGGCTTTTCTTCTTTGAGATTTTGTAAGAGGCAGTACCCAGGACACTTGAGATAACCAGCAGGATGTGCATGCTAGTGCCAGACTAACTGTTAATGTATATGCTGTCATTTGTCAGTTCCAGAGTTAACATCCCTTGGAAGGGAGTGGATCAGCTCATGCTTTGCAGAGCTTTTGGTTCAGGCAGACTCAAAAAAAACAATGTACCATCTGGTTTCTACTAAGCTGAAGGTTTTATTTAGTTTCATTTTCATGACAATCTTAAAGAATAGAAGCTTTTTAAAATATATATTTTTAAATGAGAGCTTATGTTATGCGAACATGATTGCAAGCATGCAAAAATCATAGAATACGAGAGATCTGTGCCCATCTCAGAAATAGGCAACAATAATGAAACAGGAGTCTGGAAGAGCATCCTAGGTCACCAGATCCAGTTCTCTGCTCTTTCAGGCATAGCATCATGCAAGTCTTTTTGTAAACGGATCAAATTCAGTCTTTAAAATTAAAAAGTTGTTTTTTAGACTCTGTGGTTCTAATTAGAAGGTTGCTCCAGAGAAGAAACGAGTCCAAACTGAAGGGAGTTGGATTGTGATGTAAGTTCATTGCTCAATACAAAAATGAGGCAGCAAGTAAAGGAGATATGAATTAATAAGTAGATCACCTACAAGGCTACCTTAATAGTGAATGTAATTGTGCCAGGTTGAGTTTGTAGAATGCTTTGGATAAAACATCCTAAACAGGAAAGCGACAGGTGCTATTAAGTATAGCTAGTGTGAGATCAAAGGCAGCTCTTATGAAACATAAACAATTCTCCTCTTTAGAAATGAACATTATCCAGGAATGCATATATATAAGTACCACTTGATTTCCTTTGGAGATGAAAGAGAAGGTGTGTGAATAGCACCTGAAGTCTTTAAAGAGGGGAATACAGGCAGAATGAACAGAGACCAAAAGGAAAATCATAGAAAGGGAAATGTCAGGTAGAGAACTTAGGTGGAAGATTGAAGACCATGACATCAAAAAAAGATTAGAAGATGTAGAAAGGGCAAACAAAAAATGTAGAGACATTTCACTTTGGTACGTATTTTGTCCTTAACAAAAGAGAAGATCAGATAAATATAGACATGAAAGATATGTAGTTAACCTAGTCATGACAGTGGCAAATAATGAAACTGGAATCAAAGTGAGGAGCGGGG